AGTTCCCGCCCCGCCACTCCCCTCCGCGGTGACGTAACGCGCAACGCTACGTACCCGTAATCAACTTCCTACTGTGATGTGACACTCATTACGCAACTGGCAAGCACTGCAGCTATATAAGTGAGCTGCACAGCTGGTACCAGGGAGTTCTACTGTAGCAGTCGGCGACTTCAGTTGTACTGTGACAGCCGCCGAGTTATAACATGGCCATCGCCGAAGACAGTTCTGAGTTATAAAGTAACAGTCGCCGAGCGTGTTATCAACAGTTCTCCAGTCAGCTGACTACTGTTGGAGTATAGCAGCCGTCGCGGAAAGAAGATCCGGACGTGTGTGTGATTGTGTAATTGGGAGCGTGTGATACAGTGATACAAAGCTCCCCTACAGTAAACGTGTAGACTACTGAAGGCAGAGCGAACTGATTTGCGCATAGGGTTATAAAGTGTGAAACCCCGCAACAGTGTTAACAGATTAATGCGATTAGGGTTATAAAGTGTGAAACCCCGCAACTGTGTGATAATTAATTATAGCCGTTTCTTGTAGATTGTTGAATAAACCAATTAACGATCTCTACGGCGTCTTCAGTAACGAAACACGTTACAATATATTAGATAATATGTATAATGTACACTTTGACATGAGATAAACATTAGTTGAACCAAATCTTATATACCAGGTGGTTCAAATATGACTGGGACTGATTTTTATTTTTTTAAACCATAATTGCCAGACACTTGCACATGTCAGTCTTCAACATACTCCCCTCCGGAGTCAACACGTATTTTCCAACGTTCTGGAAGCATACTGATGCCCTTTTCAAAAAAGGCTTGTGGTTGGCAGCATATCCGCTCCCGAACAGTCTGGATGATGGCGTCGTCCGCAAACTGCATTTCTTGCAAGTCTGATTTGAGTCTTCCGAACAGGTAGAAATCACTTGGGGCCAAATCGGGACTGTACAGTGGATGTGTCAGAAGGTTCTGTTTCAATTTCCAGAGGGTTTCCATGGTTGTTTTTGCCGTATGGGGGCTTGCATTGTCTTGAAGGAATGTTACCCACTTTCCACCTGTCTTCCACTTGGATTGGAACTTTTCCTTCACATCTGTTGCCAGGAGGTCTGAGTAATAAGCTGCATTGACTGTTCTGGCATCTGTCAGGAAGTCTACATGGATAACCCCCTGCCAGTCCCAGAAGAACGTTCATCTTCAATCTGCTCTAGGAGACGACTGGCAGCTTGCATGCACGCCATTTTGTTCGCGTCTGTCAAAGTGCGTGGTACCCACCGTGCATTCACCTTGTGATAGTGCAGGTGGTGTTTCATGATACCTTCTACACTACCAACACTGATGGACAGCATTGCTCCAAGTTCCTTGATAGCGATGCCCCTATTCTCACGAATAAGCACGTCTGCACGATCAATGTTTGGCTCGGATGTTCGTGGCCGACAATCATGCGGTTCATCCTCCATGCGCTCTCTGCCCTCTGTGAGGCACTTACACCACTCAAACACAAGGGTCCGTGAGAGACACTCTTCCCTATACTGTTGTGGAATCTGTGGTGAATTTCAGCAGAATTTGTTTTCTCCAATGAGGAATTTGATCACAATGCGTTGTTCCACACTCCGCAGTACCTCCTGTTTTTTGCTCATTGGTCTAGCAACTCCCAGACAGGACTGAACAGGTTGTAACCCAAACAGGAGGGAGGGTGGAGGTTGTGGCTTCACTCTCTCAAGGTCGCACAGCTGCTGCGCAGTGTGGCTTGTTTACACACAAATCAGTCTCGGTCATATTTGAACCACCTTGTATCAGTAAAACAAAAGAAATCAGATGATGTCTCTTAGATTTGAGGTTCTCACAGTGGTGACTGTGAGCAGGTCTGTCTTGTTGAATATAAGACACTGTAATCCAGGGAAAGTCTGCCAGTTTTTCAGAGAAACATATCTGGTTCTGTCTTTTGGGTCAAAGAGTAAATCAGGCAAGAAACCAGCATTAAACAGGCAGCAAGCACATCATGGCTTACTCTCTGACCCTGATGGTGTAGGTGATATGTATTACTGGAACATCAGTTGGCTTTAGCTGGACACCCCAGCAACATATCCCAGAAGATATATAACTCCTCAGATGTCTTCTAATTCACTCAACTCAGCTTTGTGAACTCTTATTTGGGAATGTTAGGTGAGGCATGTGACAGGTAATGCAGTTTGTACTTGGCAGTAGCATGTCTTGCCTCAAGTCTGATTATTCTGATTTTGCTTTTCTCATCCACAGATGACAGGGAGGTAACCTGTTTAGCTAGCCTGTTTACCATGAATCTATAGTTTCTCTGTGTTTCTGGTTTTTGATTTCCGTGAAAATGGCTGATTGTAAGAGCCATAATGCAGATTTACATGACCAATCCACACATACCAAGAGATCATTTAAATTCCTACACATGGTTTTAATGTGATTCATAATCTAGAATAACAAAAAAATTACAAGTGTCTTTGAAGTAACTCCTCATTGGTCTTCGAAATGGGCATTTTAAACAAATTTCCAAGCTAAAATGATGAAGGAATTCCCTGTCTCCTCCACCCTAGTTACATGCTGAGCCCCTTGTAGCCTCCTAGATCTCACTGTCGCAATAGTACCGGGCAAACAAAAAAATACAAAATATGAGAACAATGCTTGAGAGTATGGCATAAGGCCTAAGGAGTCTGGAGACTCAAAACCAAACAGTTGGTAGTTGTAAATGAATCCTTGTTAAAGATACCAGTGACTGGTAGAGCAGGTGCGTGGACAACAATAGGTTTGTCATCTGAATAGGAATCTCTCTTGCAGTTAAAGTTCATACTTTTAGTTGTTTCATTCAGTGTATGCTTCATGGTTTAGGAACAGGAAGAGGTGGATGCAAGTCTTGCTGCAGCCAGAGCTGAGGCAGCTGCTGCCAGAGCTGCTGCGTCTGCTGCAGAAGAGGCTAGGAAGGCAGCAGAAACAGCAGCAAAAGCTCTGCAAGAGGCAGCACCATTCTTGCAGAAAGTAAGTTTTGGTTTTAAGTATTCATTTGTAGTGCCATTTTTTTTGATAAGTCATTTGATATGTCTCCAAGTGCTATATTGCTTGGCTGATCGGTCATTCCACATCAGAGAATTTTGCAGATGAATGGAACAAATTTTGTTGCTTGGTGCAAAACAGATAATTCTCATCTGGTTCTTAGTATGTTGATATCCACTGTGATTTCTCAAGTATTGGAGAAGTAATCATTCACCATCCACAGAACTCCATATGATAGTACCTCTGTATTATAGTTCATAGTGTAGCATATTTCACTACTTGTAGCACCATATCTTCCACTTTGGTTTGAATAGAGATGCATAAGGTCATTTAAGCAATTCCTATTGGATTGCCCACCAATTTCTTCTACAGTGACAGACACTTCTGTCTCAGGACGTTACTTCTCTCTGTAATGTAATGGGACTGGATTTTCTGAAGAGGCATTCACTACTCTATTCTTCTATTTAGTAAATTGATCTGAGGTTGTGTGTTCTGTGAATAAGATTATAAAATAGTTAAATCTATTATTATTTACTCTTGCAGTTAGAGGTGGTAGAAGCACTTCCAGTTCCACCTTCTAAACATGAAGAAGGACAGAAGTCTCGGAAATCACCAAGTCCACCCTTGAAGAAAGCCAAATTTATTGATGAGGTACCAAAGCCTGTAGCACCCGTGTTCACTGTTCCACTGCATGATGCAGTGATTCAAGAAGGGGATAGATTCACTTTCGAGTGCAGGTAACCTAAAAATTTCAGTGCCATGTTATTTATTTGTGCTTTTAACCAGGATCATCAAGATTCCATCCTCAGCACTCACTTTCATTAGAATGAGTCTAATGTGGACAGAAATATAAACATATATTTCCCCCCCCCCGTGGCGCTACAGCCCCAATTTGGGCCTAGGCGTACCTCCATGAAACTCTCCATTTCACTTCGGTTTACTAGATCTTACACATACGGTAGGACTCCTTGGGCGAGTGATCAGCTTGTCACAAGGCCTCTACCTGTAGACAGACACAGAAAAACGCACACAAACATCCATGCCCTGAGTGGGATTCGAACCCACGATCCCGGCTTCCAAGCGAGTGAAGACAGTGCATGCCTTAGACTGCTCGGCTACCGTGACCGGCATAAACATGTATTATTGTAAGCAAAATTATTCTTCTAATGTACATAAATATATGCTCATGTAATAATTATAAGACCTCCTCTGTGGTCAGAGTGGTCAGAGTCTGTGGTCTAGTGGTCAGAGTTCCTGGCTTCAGATCAAGAGGTCTGGGTTCGATTCCCGGCGCTACCAAATTTTCTGAAAAGTAGTAGGTCTGGAACGGGTTCCACTCAACTTCATGAGGATAATTGAGGAGCTATTTCAGGCAAATAGCAGCTCTGGTCTAGAAAACCGAAATTAACAGCTGTGGGGATCCGTTGTGCTGACCACACACTAAAGTTGGTATTAACTTCGCCGACAAGCAGCGGTCGCTCGGTCAGTATAGTTCGCTTACAGACTAAAAACCATGCAGTATTTTTTTTTAATTAAAAGCCCCTGACTATTTCATCTCCTGTTATTTTTGTACAGTGTAATGTATCTTCTTTTAGTTTCAGCGCAAGTGGCAAAATATAATATTAACAGTTGAGCATTTACTATAGGCACCATCCATTTATGCAGTATGATATTTCTGTAAACTACAAAAAGGTGAGGAGTGAAATAGTAGAGCATTGCTTCCATCGATTCAATCTTTTGATTGGTAATCAGTTCCACTAGACTTGTATTTTAGAGGTGCTCAATTGAAATTGTAGCCAGTACACTGGCCATCCTGAATAAGGGTTTTCATGGTTTTCCTGAGTTCCTCTGGGAATATACTGGGATGATACTTTGATTGGGCCATGACGGCTTCTTTCAAAATGTAAGATTTGAGGTTTTCATGGCGGTGGCTATGAAGAATGCCGTCTTCTGGGATGTTGTGCCGTGTAGATCTTGTGTGAACAGACATTGGTCCGCTCTCTGCTACCTGCTCGCCTGGCCTTGCTACCAATCTCTGACCCTACCCCTCTCCTCTATTCATTTCCCATGTGGCCCACTCTCCCTCTCTCCCTCCCTCCCACTGTTATTATACATATAGCTGGGTGTTTTTGACTGGTGGCTTAATCTGCTAGCCACCTGCTTACATTAGTTCCTCACTCACAAATTTTTCTACCCTGAAAATTGAGGTGATATGTTCCTCCGAAATGTCAGTGCAAACAAGATCTATATGGCGCCACATCCCAGAAGATGGCATTTTTCCTTGAAAATGTTTTCCAGTCATTATTCACCAGTCAGTGAATATAATCTGAGATACTGGCAGCATCATAAAACAGACCACAAAGAAGAACAAAAAGATAATTAGTTCCATGTAGTATGAATATATAAAAAAAATATATATATATATATGAATATATAAATATATAAAACAGGAGATTTTTAGTTCAGCTCAGAAGAAGTGATCAAATTCAAACTGTTTTAGTTGGCATACATGTTCTGCTGCATGCCTCCAGTAGTCCTTTTTGTTATGTCTAAATGTGACCTGAATTCTTATCCAGGAGCATTGTCCCAACTTTGTAAACACAATGAAGAGCGCTGTGTTATGACAACCTACTTTTTCTGGCTTACACATGTGTCCTGCTTATATGCAGAAATATTAACTGCACAACTTGCCACTCTTATAATCCCATGCATGTAAAGCAGTGTTTCTATGAAACACTGAAGTTAATCTGCTGTCTCCATCTGATCCACAGTATGCTCTTAAACATCCCTACACAATTATAGTTATTTCCTTTTCTGCTCTTCAGAGTGACTGGCTTTCCAATGCCAGAGGTGACATGGTACAAAGATTGTATTGCAATACAGAATAATCCTGACTACCAGACCACATTTGACCAAGGTATCTGCACGCTCACTATTGAAGAAACATTCACAGAAGATTCTGCTAAATTCATCTGCAAGGCTGTCAATGCTGCAGGAACTGCTGAAACAAATGCTACACTCTCAGTCAAAGGTTGGAAAAGTTTTGTACTAGCATGATGAATAGTGTAAACCACTGCTTGAAAGCTAGGGGTGAAGTAAAATACTGTTCTTATTTTATCATGATGGACAAGAAATTTCTCACCTCTTTTTGAACTCTCGAGTTACCTATGCTTGGGTCAGGAAAAGAATGAACATGGGTGTTGGGGGTTCAAGACAAACATCTTCTCGCCCCAATCCTACATAGGCTGCACACTTCCCTTCCATCAACAGCTCAGGCTCACCTCTCTGTCTGACAAGGGTTTGTATGCTCAATGATATTTTTAAGAAAAGAAAGTGATATGATTTTTCAGTGGAAATTTCTAACAGACCCAGGTGTTCCAATAACGAGTTGAGAACTTTTGAAGGGGGGGGGGGCATTCTAAATAGAATGAATTCAAGAATACCAATGTCAATTGGTGGTAGTGGGAGAAGACGCAGAAGGGAGGTAGTTGCATGTTAAATGAGTGGAGGAGAATTTGTGTTATTCTTTAACCTGATCTAGCTGTACTAGTACAGATTGCGTGGAGGAGAGTCCTTCTTTAGGAGGCAGTAAAAGGAAGTTAATTTGTTTACTTTTGACTGAGAACTTGGCTGATTGTACAGTAAGGAAGGTTTTTATTAGAAATTCACTAAGCATTTCAAGATATGTGTATATACATATATATACATATCTATGCTAGAAACTTAAAAGTCACACTACTATATATCACTTATGCACTGAAGAAAATATCTTTTACAGTGTCACAGTAAGGTATATGACTGAATTTTTAATCTCTAGCCTCTACTTGCAGATCTTTAATTTATGTTTGTTCCACTAAGTTGTTACTGATATAAATTGTGATTTACTCAGAACACTATGTCAGTGAGATGAAGTACTTATATTTACAAAAACAGAACCAGAAGCAGAAGAACAGTTATCACCTCCTGTCTTCACCAAACGTCTGGAGTCAAGCATATCACGAGAAGGCTCTACTTTTCAAATGGAATGTAAAGTCGAAGGCAATCCACTTCCCACAGTCCAGTGGTTTAAGAATGATGTTTGTATTGACAACTCACCTGACTATGTAATCACATACAATAATGGAGAGGCAGTGTTGCGGCTTGAGGAAGTTTTCCTTGAGGACCAAGCTGAGTACTGCTGCAAGGCTGCCAATCAGCTTGGCACTGATTTATGCAGTGCTAAACTTACTGTTGAGCGTAAGGATTTTAACGTTTCCTTTATTGGAGTAATAACAAATCAGAATATGTTTTGTATATAGAAGGGTTTTAAATGTAAAATTTTGTTTTTCATGCTTAAAGAAAATTAAATAATGTTGTAATGCTGTCAAGTTGCCTATCATTATGCAGCGTTATACAGGGTGATTCACGAAGTTTTACCCCCACTTAGGGAGGGCATTCCTGAGGTAATTTGGAACAAAAAATGTTAATATACTAATGGTATCCAACTCATAATTAAAGAGATACAGTAATTTGAAAACTGGCGAAAAATCTTTTTTTCTTTGAATTTCAATCAAAACAAATTAGAAATACAATACAAACACTTTTTAAATCGTTAATGTCTTAGGAAAGAAGCATTCTAAAACCAATTTTTTTTTTCCAATTTCTTAATTTTGCATTGTGCAACATTTTTCATCGATTTTGTGTTACAAAATTACATTATTTTCAGCATCTCATTCTGTAAACATACCAATGGTTGCATATCACACCCTTCTATCAGTCTGTTTCCTTTAAACTGTAGTGCTTTAGAAGATGACTGGATTTACATAAGATTTCCAAAAATGTCTCCCTGCACGTCAACACAATGAGTCGCACGCGTATGAACTGCTCTGCCTATCTACCTACACACAACATTCAAACCGGTCTACCTTATCTGCTGACATAGCTGACTGGAACGTATGGTCGCCCACACTGAAGCATAGCACTGCATTCAGAATGATGCGTTTCGAAAATCTATTTTTACTCCGTAACAATTGAAAATGGACCACAAATTCATAAGGAAATTTTGCAGGAAATAACCCCAGGAATATGTACCATAAGCCAGGGTAAAATTTCGTGAATCACCCTGTAGACAAAGTTTTATGGCAAATTATAGGAAATATTTAAATAATGCCATGATGTCAAAATTACAATAGTTCCATAATAGCTTTTGGCTTTTGCATGTAAGATATTGAACTTTGTTATATGGAACATGAGTTTGAAGCCCTTTATCAAAATTGTTTGAATTAAAAATGCAGATATCATGAGCATTTGTTTAAGAATTTGGAATGTATTATCCTAGTTCTAAATTGTTGTCAGATACTGACACTGAAGCTATTTGTGGTCTTGTACATCCCTGTACTTAACACAGTTAATCTTAAAACTCTTCTTGTCATGTTGATAGCCAAATTGTGAAAACATCATCATCATCATCATCATCATCATCATCATCAGTAATCCGTCAGACGACAGGTCCACAGTCTCTTCCAAAACAATTCCTCCACTTAATGCGATCTAGAGCTTTCTCCTTCAAATGACAGTATCCTCTTCTTTCCCCAAGGTCATCCAGCATCTTCTTATGTCTTCTTCCTCATCTTCTTGTCACTTCTATCCGCTCCTCTATCTTTCCTTCAATAACTTCTTTTAGAAGGCCGTTACCGCGTAAAACATGACCAGTCGAATTAGCCTTCCATTTTCTTATTTCGTGTAGGATATTCCTCTGCTCACTGACTCTAATTAACACTTCTTCATTTCTCACATAATCGGTCCAACTGATCTTCTCCATTCTTCTCCAACACCACATTTCGAAACTTTCCAGATGTTTCTGATCTACTGCCCTAAGTGTCCATGTTTCAGCCCCATACAGAGCTATGCTCCAAATGTAGCATTTCACTAGTTTCTTCCTCAAATTTAAGTCCAATTTGCTGGTAAAAAGATTCTTCTTCTTGCTAAATGCAGCTTTTGCCATGGCAATCCTGGATTTAATTTCACTAGTGCACCTTCCATCATCTGTTAACAAGCTACCCAAATATTTAAAACATTTCACAGTCTCCAGTTGTTTTTGGTCTATCTTTATTGTGACTGGGGTTGGTTGTCTCGAAATTTTCATTACTTTTGTTTTCTCCACATTCATTTCCATGCCATAGCACCTTCCAATTTCAATTAGTCTATCAATCATGCCCTGTAGCACAGTTTCTTCCTTAGCCATTAACACAAGGTCATCTGCATATTTCACAGTTTGAATAATTTGCCCTCATAATTTGAAGTCTCCGAGCCCATCCAGAGCTTCCTTGGTAAGGCATTCGCTGTACAAGTTGAACAGAATTGGTGATAAACAGCATCCTTGTCGAACTCCTCTTCCAATCTGCACACTTCTTGTATCCCCTCTGTCCAGTCATACCCTAATTTTCTGATCCATGTACAATTTGCTAATCTATCGTCTTTCACGCCAATCGATACCTGTTTCCTTTAGGATCTGCATTAATTTGGTCCAGTTTACACGGTCAAATGCCTTCTGCCAGTCTATGAAGCAAACACACAGTTCTTCATCTATCTCCAAAGTTCGTTCTGCTATAATTCTCATCATCCCAATTGCATCCCTGGTTCCTTTTCCTCTTCTAAATCCAAACTGATCTTCTCCAAGTATATCCTCTATTTTCCTTTCGATTCCTCTTTTACGTATCTTTGCTATTATCTTCTGTATGTGCAATAAGGCTTATTGTGTGATGGTCGCTGCATTTTGTAGCTTTTGTCTTTTTCTTTAAGGCAATCATTGTCACTTCTGTAAAGTCCTTGGGCCACTCCCCAGTTTCATATATGGCGTTCATTAGTTTTGTCAGTGTTTTCAAACCACCTTCTCCCAGTAACTTAAGCACATCTCCAGGTACATCATCATCTCCTGTAGCCTTTCCACTCCTCATGTCCTTGATAGCTTTTTCCACCTCACTTTGTAAAATATATGGTCCTTTCTCATCTGTATCTACTTCTTCCAGTTCAACTTCTAAGGTTTATGGCTGATTAGGTTGATCATATAGTTCTGTAATATAATTTTCCCAAATTTTCAGCACTTGCATCTGATCTACTATACTATTCCCCTGGGAGTCTTCGATGCCAATATTTTGAATCCCATGATTCTCTTTCCATACTAGTTCTTTTGTCTTCATGTACATCGAATCGTAACATCCTGTTCTTTGAAATTCTGTAATCTCATTACATATCTTCTCAAGATATTCCTTTTTGGCCCTGTCCGTGTGAAATCATTTGGTTGTTTTGGGTAGTCAGTAATAAAAGGTCTTTCTTGAAGTTCATAGTTTCTGTGATAATCAAGGAACCTCCTCCTCCTATGGAATTTTAAACATTCAGGAAAGCCAACTGTTAGACCCTCTCTTAAGCTAAATGAAGTCCGTATCTTCAGCTTCTACATCCCTGAGATATTTTTTAATATTATCCACTTGTTTCTGACTATATATTCCAAGTGGGATCTTCTCTTCAGAGTTTCCCACTAAAATTTTGTATGCGTTTCTCACTTTACCCATTTGTCACACCTCCTTTCTATCTCATCATCATTAATTTAATTACACTAACAGTGTGAGATAAGTGCAAATTATGAAGGTCCCCGTTTTATATAATATTTTTCTTCCTTCTATTCCTTTTTCATTCATTGCTCCAGATATTCTTCTTTTGTAACACTTAATTCATTTTCTTGGATCTAGTATCTGAAATGTTTTCTTTTGTTCTACACAGCTCTGGAGCCAACAGAAGCGCCTTCATTTGTCACTCCTTTGTCAAATGTCATGGCTCGAGCAGGTCAGAAAATAAAATTGGAATGTGAAGTAACAGGATTACCAACCCCAGAGCTTAACTGGAGTCATAATGGAAAACTGATGCAGGAAACGCATGATATCAAAGTGAGTTGAGTTTGTTTAGAATGAACAGATATTTTCAGAGATGCTACTGATTAAAAATTGGCCTTTAACATTAGCCACTGTAACTAACCATTGGAAATAGAATGTTATTAGCTAGTACCTATGGTTAACAAAGGAACTTAAATGAAAGACAAATTTCCACTTGTTTGTTTTTTTAATATATCTGTAATTTCTTGGTATTGGTTCTTTCCATCTATAATTTTTCGTGAATATTTGTGCCTTGCTGTGTGAACTGTGAATTACAATTTTATTAAATACCTTATTCATACAGACAGCAATTTTTTAGTTTAGAATAGTTAGTTGTTCAAACAAGATAAGGCAGATTATAGGTTGCTTTGGTGACACTATGTTATCTGGTTAATATGAGATATAGTGTGACGAATTCAGTTTGGTTGTGAATATGAGATTTGAGGTTTCCATGGTGGTGAAAAATTTAGATCAGCTTCTAGTTATAATATTACGTATGGAACTGCGTGGTGTCATAACCCATAAGCCCACACTGTGAATGTTATGATAACATTACAATGTCAAAACTCTCAACAATGTTATATTTTAGCATCCTGTTACACTGAATGAATGAAGACATTATGGCATGCAGTACAATAGTTTAACGTGTATAAAGACACCTGAAGATGGCAAATTGGTGCTGAAACATGTAGTGTGGAAGTGAAGAATAAGGTGAAAAAGTGTATACACTGTAAGACGGTCAGCATAAACCATGGACGTTAAAACTCTCATCGAAATTTCTAGTATTCCAGAGGACTCAGTGACTCCTTCTTTGGATCTTATTGTCAAACTTTAAGCATCTGGCCAGCATTTTAAAATTGTTTTTGATCCCAAGTGCTTGGTCATTTCTCCGTATATATGTAATGTGAGATATATATATTGAACACTTTAATCGTTTGGATTGATGGAAGCTGTTATATTTAAATGAGAATAGATTGCCAGATTTTTGTGTTTATAGTATGTGTAAAATGAACAGTAATGGAAAAGCAAAACTTGTAACTGTTTTGTGACCCAATGTCATCCGATTCATTTCAGATGCAGTATGATGATAATAAAGCGACATTAGTTGTAAATGAGGCATTTCCAAAGGATGCTGGAGTCTATGTTGTCTCAGCAAAGAATATAGCAGGTGAAGCAACTAGTTCTTGTAATGTTTCTGTGAAAGGACGTCTGCCAACTGAAACATCTGACTCAGAAGTCGCTAGTGATATGGAGCCTATCAAGCCAGCCATTCAGCTACCTCTGAAAGACATATCAGTATTTGAAGGAAAACGAGTCAGGCTTGACTGTATCATCATTGGGCAGCCTGAGCCGGAGGTACAGTGTAGTTTATCAGGATATTCATCAGAAGTGCAATTCCCATTTGCAGAAATAATTCTTACTGGTCTCTTTCATGCAATATGCGCCTTGTCTCCAGTCTTGGAAAATTTGAATATAGTACTTTTATCTGATAATTCAGTTATAGTTTTTATGATCAACCTATTTGTTTGTTGGTAAACTTTTTCCAAGTTTCTGAATTTTCTTTCACCACGAATTTTGTTGTTATAGTAAAACTTGCTTATAATGGAATGTCAACATCTTTACATTGTAGACAAATTTCTGCTTAACACATCTAAGTCTAGGTAAAAGATGTTTTGTAGTGTCTAATTCATGTACTAATACTACCTGATTATGCAGTTATGATACAAATAACATATCACATATGTACCTCACATTGCACATATTTTACTTTCTCTTTTAATATTTGCACACACACACACACACACACACGCACACAGATTGTGGCATGCTGCATAAGACGTCCATTGATAGGCAGTGGCTGCGATAAGAATGTATACTTCCATGGAAACGCACTACCAGCAGACCACTGCCTAGGAATCGCTAAACAACAAACACGTTTCCCTGGAAATGAAAGGATATCTGTGGAAATGAATACTACCAGCGGATAAAATGGAACTCTTGTACACGATGTTCACTTTACAGTCCGAGAGCAAGTTATAAATATCCCGCTTCGAAGAGACCCGTGAGTAGGTCATGGGTCTCAAAGGGCCTGACACCAAGACACACTGATTGACAGTAAACCACCAGTTGTAAAGTAACTCTGACTCTCTCTCTCACTCTGACTCTGACCAGTCTTCAGTTTGGCTTTGACTATAGCAGAAGCAGTTGTGATAGTTGTGAAAAATTGTACTTGTGAATGTAGAAGAGATTGGCCAGTAAACACATTCCCCAAATCCAAGACCCACATGAATTCAGTTATTGTGGTACATAGGCAACACACGACAATATATATTGTGGTGTATTTGCCCTATGCAGGAACTGCTGAGCCACAGAGGCCTCGGGGTACGCATGCAACGGGAGGGTTGCGGATTGTATCGATGCATTGCTAGGCGACAACTCTGTGAACACTTGGATTGCGCAACTGGAAGTAGGGGTTGCATACCCCCACCCAGCCAGTCACTATGGGACGCTCAGTAAACACCCCTCCACACTGCCCTGAGACATAACACAACAGTGGTAGCTATCACGTAACTGGTTTCTATGGACTCCATTGCTGGGCAATTGCTCAGTAAACACATTCCAACAATATAGGTTGTTTTCTGTGTGGTCAGTGTGGAAGCTATATATCGAGAGTATTCTTCAGTGTTGAGGCAGTTAAGAGTAGTTGAGAGTGGCGGAAGCAAGCGAAGGGGAACGAGGAATACAAAAGGTCACTTGTGAGGATATCAAGTGTGATTTAGAAGAGTTTATGTGTTTGACGATGCATGCAACAGTGGATTATGAAATGTATGTAACTCAGTGATCGCGCTGTATCTGAGAGTAATTAAAAGAGAGCGTGTAACCAAGCTGTTAATAAATGCAATAATCCAGACTAGAACCTGTCATTTCATCATGCATACCCTCCTACATGTGACAATATATATACAGGGAAATCGAGAAGTCATGCACATCACACTAAGGAATTATATTTTGCTGTTTTAATGCACTAACTACAAGACATACAGCACTTAATATTAATGTTTATAACCTTACATCTTAGAAATGCAAAATCAAATCATGTCTTTACAACATATGCTCGAAATGGCTTCCCTGTTCTGCAATGCATACGCGAGCTCTTTTTTATCATGTTTGAAGACACTTTGTGGAGCACCTGTAAACTGACGCTGTTAATCGCCGTCGTCATGTCCCTCTTGAGGTCATCCAGTATATGCAGATTGTTTTTATAGACAATTCCTTTGAGGTACCCGCAAAAGACAAAATCTGCGGGTGACAAATCGGGCGAACATGGGGGCCACAATCCTTTCTAAATGAGATAGTCACTGAAAAACTCACGCAAGAACTACATGGTTTCATTAGATGTGTGACATGTGGCACCGTCATGCTGCAGCCAACGCTCACGTTCATGAACTTCAAGAAGCACAATAAACTGTGTAATGATGTCTTGGTACACTGCACTGTTCCCTGGTGTTCAAAAAAATTGGGCCCACTATTCAACGACTTGATACAGCACACCATATTCCAATTTTCTGACAGTGCAGGGGCTTTTCAGGTAACACGTGGATTTTCAGATGACCAAATCCTATTGTTTTGTCTGTTCATATAGCCACTAAGGTGAAACCATGCTTCATCAGTGACATGCATAAGAACGACTGGCAAATTAATGTTCCACAATGAAAACTTGTTGTTCTTGGGAAAACAACATGTCTGTCAAGCAATAAACAAAGCTATACTGCAGACCTCATATGACCGATGCAGGGCATATGGCGTTTCTACTCGTTGTTAGTACTTCTACAGTACCATCTAGCAGTAGGAGATATAATTATATTAACTACAATACAATTTATAACGACTTTTAGTTTGATGTGCGTGACTTTTCGATCTCCTTGTATGTATATATATATATATATGTATATATATATATATATTTGATGTCTAGGCTTAATTCTTTCGTGTTTGAGAGAGGAGTTTTTCTTCACAGATATGTGCCAAAGACGTGATATGGACCAAATTATACGAACAGGAGGAACCATGAATATTTAAGTAGACTATGTTCTGTTCTTGTTTTTCATTTTCATTCCCATTTACATGCAAAACAATTCTTGTTTATTAGAGATAATTTTGCCGTCTGTTTCACTCTCTGTTCTTGGAAGCAGTTAAATTTGCTAATAAAGGTAGGTTAATCCAAGTTCTATTCACTGATACTCAGTAATCATCATTGAAAACGAACACATATTAAAATGTGATATTTACTGTATGTTAAACTCTGAAATGTTTTTTTCAGGTTATTTGGTACCACAATGACCGCCCAGTAAAGGAATCTACAGATTTCAAATTATTGTTTCAAGGAGATCGGTGCTCTCTTATTATTCAGGAGGCTTATCTGGAAGATGCTGGAGAGTATAAAGTTGTTGCAATTAATTCAGGAGGAGAAGCATCAAGCAAATGTAGTCTGTCTGTGAAATGTAAGTGAAACATAATAAAACGAGTAATAATTGCACCATCTGAATGTAAGCTGTAACGTGTAGGAAGATTTTAAACCATATGGAGAGGTATGATGTATATTGTCACATGATATATACCCTTACAGTCAGTCATGAGTTTTGTAGTAGATTTACAAATGACCTTTTCAGCATAACCCCTGATCATTATGTACATGTTTTGCAGTTTAATATTTTACCTCTCAATAGTGTAACCGTACGTCCCTCGCCAAATTATTTAATTAAGGGTATGAACAACTTATGCATTGTTTCACACCATGAGAGACGCTCCTCCGGCGAAATACCATCCCAGGACCCATCTAGTTGTAATTCAGCTATTGTCCTCCTTAGGCTTAGGGTTTCACTATTGTCCCTTACATAGCCAATTTGCTCCTGGTATCATAAACCCATGAACTGACCTTGTGCGAGACCGGTCAGGAGGGTCTTGGGTTCCCTGCTCGTGTGCCTTGAAGACCTAAAAAAGTTTATGGGCTTCTCAAAAAATACGAATGTAGGACAGATGCCAGGCTCGACCCTTGGCTTTTTCTTTTCATTTTCTTGTTTTTTATGCCCACTGGAGGACTGGTAAAGAGAGGGCAGTTGGTTATAGGGAGCGGAGGAGGACGGTTGTTGAAATGTAGACAGAGAACAGAGCAGTGTTTTACAGTAGGGGTAGCGAGTAGGGTGGACGGAGCGGCGAGCTTGGAGGACAATGTAAATATTGATCATTAATGAAACTTTAAATTAAAACTGCAGTCCACGGTGTGTTCTGGAGCCCCCTGATTCATAAACCTCGAAGTGTGTTCCACTCCCATCTCCGAAGCACCCGTATCCCGTGATTAAGAACTCAAGCTCGAGCGACAGTCGTGGCAGCTGTAAGTCGGCAGACGGCTACAATAGTCAGTATTACATTTCCTCCATGTAAGGTTTTTCTCAGTTTAGAGTTTACATCTTCTGCTTGCCAAAGAAAGAAATAGAGATTTCGCTATAATTGTCTTTTTGCTATATTGTGTTTGTTTTTTACTGTTCTTGTTAACTCTTTGACTGGCGCGAAGGGTATTTAAATCCCGCCCCTGTCCTGGCAGGCCCTTTAAACCTTATGTCGCTAAAATGCATGTAGTTACTTTTTCCTAAACAACTTCAACAAAAATTGGTTTTTAAAAACGAAATTTTCAGGAACTACTTAAAATACAATATTTTATGCAATAAATGCCTTTCCATACCTCTTTATTAGTTTTTCTTCGTGTGATAAACATTGAAACATGAAAGTTTGCAAAGAGCCACACCACAGCCTGCACACATGATACTTGTTTCCTTTCTAATCTTGTGCTTAGCACTCACGCGACACTTTCTCAGGGCACCATTCTTCTTGTTACTGGGAGGAACATGGACCATTTTGTGAATTTTCAAGCCACCCTCTAGACGATTTACTGGCTCTTTCACTGGTGGTCTTTTCAAGGTCGAGGGCAGAGGCGTGACTGCACTCGAGTCTGACGTAATAGATTCGTCATCCACTTCATTCCTTGACTCTTCTCCCTCTCCACCCTGTTTTTTTGGTTCAGTCATTTTTCTACACAGTCCAATATAAAATCTTTGAATCTGTAATTTCTCTTCTTGTATTTTTCGTTTGTTGTGTTCTT